GCCAGTGCCAGTGTGCAGCACCTAGTCAGTCCCAACGCCTTATTAGTCATGATTAATGCAGGTGGGTGAGCTTGGAAGGCAGCAAGTGCTAAACCCAAAGTGGATTCCAGCTTGTCTTCAGCACATTTGTAACTTCCCACCTGCTCTCCTCAGCTGCTGACAAGCTCCTGCACAAAGGAGAGAAGGCCCAAGACACAATAAAAACATCACGGCAGTACCTGTTCTCCTGGGACCCACAATGTCAGTGCTGGTGTTGCAACCAGACAACAGCAACCTGTTTCTAAGTACTAGGACACTTCTGCAAGACCAGAGTTGGAGAGTTAAACCCTGTGCTTCCCCCAGCCAGAATCCCAAAACTAAGCTTTCTGACACCGACAACTTCATAAGGCTGTTGCAGGACTGCTTGAATTCCAAACTGGTTTATCAGGGAAGGTTCCTTCCTGGGCTGCTGACTGCAGAGGACTCACCCTGCCGTGACTGCACCGGGCTGACACTGCCCTTAAATGTGCTCTTAGCTACCCCAGCTCTTCTGGAAGGAACCAGCCACCCCAGGTACGACCCCAGACGTCCTCTCTGACACGCTGCACAAAGCCCACAGGCCAGGCCAGGCCATGTGAGCCTCAGGGCTACACGCCTCCTTACACACTTAAATCCACCTGCTTTTCCTCCCTGATTACATCTCGGGACACGGCACACGCTGTCCCAGCAGAAGCTGTGCTGCTGAAAGCACCAAAACACCTGGGAGACCTCGACATTTACCAAATAACTCCCTTGGGATTCTTCACAAATTTGTCTTGAGGGCTCGTACCCTCAGAAAACCAGGCTGCAGGAACACAGAGGATCCCACATCCCACCCAGCAGTGGAGAGCACAGGGTACATGTGCTGCCTCACACGGAACACAGGAAAAGCAACGGGGAAAAAAATAAAAAAATAAAAATCACATGTCCCATTCCAAGAGGAGAAACAGTTTAATTCCTAATCCAAATGTCACTGGTCAGCTGATTAGCAGCTGGCCCTCGGCTGAAGCTAGAAAGCAAAAACTCGCAAAATGCACTTCAAAGCGACGTGTTGAACCCAACCACACTGGAATTGGGCTGAGGATCACGGAAATCTGCACAATTTACCTCAGACGGGGTTTCTTTTAAAGTGTGATTATTTCAGAAGAAGGTCAGGTGTAATTTTAGTGACTTCAGGGCACAGCAGTGCAGGGAGTTCCACGCAGGTTCCAGCTGCAGGGGAAGGAAGCCCTAAGGGTGAGCTGGGCAGGGGTCAGCAGAGCCCCCTGCAAACAGCCCAACCACACAATTAGGCAGCTCAGGGGACCCCCCTGCACACCAGGCACAGGTTGGGCACTCAGAGCCTTTGCTGGCCTGCAGCTCTGCCAAGGGAAGTCAGGATGAAACATTCCCACCATGTCCTTCTTTTCAATACAGAGGAAAAAACACAGCTGGCAAATGTAAGCTGACTTTGCACTGGTTTATAATGTCTGCCATTAAAAGCTTTGAAATCTACACTAGCAGGCAGCACACAGGCATGAATGTGAAAAGCTTCAGTGAGATATTTGACAATCATTAAACCTGAAACCCCTACTTACACACTTTCAGGGGAAAAGACCTTCAGAAAAGATACTACTAATTTTAAAAGTGACTTTTCACAGATGTGAAGAAAAGCAGCCTGCACCTTTTGCTAGAAGCAGAGCAAGACAACCAAAATCCTGCTCAAACGTGTGCCCCAACAGCACTTACACACCTTGGGTCAGCTCAGCACTCTCTTACAATACTGTGAGTACACAGAGTCACACAAAACACAGCCTCCCCTCAAAAATGGGACACTGGGGCAATCCCCACCTGGCTTTAGCTCAGGAGTACCCATGGCTTGTGGTACTTTGCCACACATGCACATCCCTCAAACTCCTTAGCGAATTCCTGATTTATGGCAACATCCCTCTCAGTGTTTCTTTGATCCTCCTCAGACAGACACTGACCTCCTCACAACTCCAGTGTGGGGCTTTGGGGCGGGTTTTTGTTGTTTTGGTTTTTTTTCTCCCTACACACAGGCGGAAACAAAGAGCAGCATCTGATTTGATCGCACTGTTTTGGTTTCTTTTCATAAACAAAACAGCAAGACAGCAGCCCGACTCACCCCCACACTCCAGCAGCTCCTGGGTATTCACCTCAGCTCAGTGAACACCCCAAAACCAGTAACAACACCCCTCACTGTGTGGCTTTAACCCTGCCCCCACAGACCCCAAGGCCAGCAGCACTGACCTCCCACAGCAGTTAATCCCTGTGCAAACTCTGAGGGGAATGTTAAGAGATCATTCGTGCTAATATAGAGCAAGACAGCTACAAAGACTCAACTGGGAGTCACCTATTGCAACACACTGTAAAAAACCCCACTGATTCACGGGTACCTCATCACCACAGCCACTCACTCAAATTCCTTCTTTGTTATTCCCATCTATTTCCTTCCCCAAGGAAGGAATGTTCCTCCCTGCCCAGGAAAGCAGTAACCAGACACAACTATTTTTCAGGGGCAGGGGGTGCAATCACAGCAGATATTTTGGGGAATCTATGCAGAGCCAACGAGCACATGGAGCCATTTGCCACCTGGCACAGGCTGGTGCTGCATCCAGGCCTCCACCCCAGGCAGGGCACACCCCCGGCAGCAGGGCTGCTCAGCAGAATTCAGGGTGACCAGGCACAGCTCTGACAGAGAGACGGAAATCCCAACACTTCCATTCCAAAAGTTCTGGTTCAACCAGTTCCTCAGTCATGCAACTCAAGTCTCCCCCACACCATCCACCATCATCTCAGAGATTCCTTCTTTGAAGCCACTTTGCACCTCGTTTATTTTCCAGGCTTCACATGCACCAAAACACAGGCCTCCCCTCTGCCTCCTAAAGCAACGGGGACGAGAGGTGTTCCTTCCCAGACAGGATACTCCTCCTACAAAGTGCTTCCCAGGGGACTTTTCCTTTTAGCAGAAATAGCCAAGAGCTCACAAGTTGCCTTTTCAAAACTGCTGAAGCACCACTGCAGATACAAAGAGGTTTTCCAGCCGCGGATTCAGACGTCAGGAGTGCAGGGACCAGGCCGCCCTCGAGCTCCCCAGGTCTCCAGCTGAGTCAGGGAGAAAATGCTGTTCACCAGCTCTCAGGCACACGGATGCAGAGCTGCAGCACTTCTGCCCCACACTGCCTCCCCAGATGACCTGCCTTTCCTACAGAGGAAATGGCATTTTCACCTCTCTGTTCCCATCAAAAGGTGACCAGCTGCAAACCCACAAAGCCACCTTGCTCTTGTCCCCTTGGAGGCTTCACTCAACAGGCAGAAGGATTTCAGACTGCCCACAGCAGAGCCTAAATGTGAGGACAACACCTGTGCAGCACATTTCACCACAAGAAGTTCCTCTGCCTCGCAGGAACAGATCTCAGCACCTGTATTACAGGCCTTGCTCAGCCTGTGTGGATCCAGGAGCTGCAGCCAAGCCTAGGCCGTGCTCCATCCCAGAGGCCAGCCAAGAAACCAGGAGTGGTAGGGAAAAGCCCCCCCAGGCAGCAGCTCCTCCAGGACAGCGAGGAGGGAGGGGAGGAACCTCTTCCAGGCAATCTGTGCTTCCACCTCTGCCGAGCAGGAGGGCCCAGTGACACACGGGCTCCGCTCCCCGGTGCTGTCAGCACGGGGCAGAACCTGCCAGCAGATTACTCATCAGCACAAACAGCCTCTGCCTTCCTATGTTACCAGGATGAGGCCACCCCGCATTAAAAAAAGACTCTGACAGCTCCTCGGGTTTAGCTCGTGTAGTTCCTGAGCTTCCAGGGCCAAAAGGGCCTTGGAAATACCAGCCGAGGCGAACCTACAATGCACATTTCAGGGAAAAAAAATAAAATCACTATAGTTACTAGTTAAAAGCCTGGTTTCAGTGCTCCTCTCAGCAGAACACATCAGAAATCACGCCTGAAAGATGGTCACAGACCTATTTTTTTGCACACTGTGGTGACTTCTTACAAACCTGAACATTGGCAGCGTACATGGAGTCCCTTTTCCATTTTAGGGCTCTTTCTGTAGAAGCCAACACAGGTCCTCCCACTCAGCTCTCTCACAGCAGCTCCCCTCTCCTTCACAATCACCAGATCAAAACAAAACACTGTTTTGACTGAAATGGCCCAGGATGCTGCAGGAGGGACCAGGAGCAGGGCTAAGGAGGCCAACATCTCTCTGAAGGTCGAGGCTAAGGTTACCAGCCAGAGCCAGCCAGGAGGCTCCTCACAGCCCCAACAAATGAAATGTAAAATGATAGTTGAAGCAGCAGAGCTGGTTACAATTAAACAAATGCCACCAGCAGCTTTGCTGCACTGCAAGGGCTGCACACGTCATGAGTTCTGTAATCCCCACGGCTCATTTTTAGTTCTTTAACTGTTTTATTTGGGGGGAAAAATACAGCAATTGGGATCAGCACTTCCCCTTGCAGAAACCCCCCACGCACAGAAATCCCTCATCCCAGGTCACAGCCTACCTATGTGCACGACAGAGCTACCAGGAATTGACTCCAGCGTATAATCCTCCCTGCTTAAGGTGGGAGAGGAGGTAACAGCTGAAAAAAGTTAAAGAGTGAAGGCCACTGCTTTCATTATTTACAGCACCTTGTTCTGCACCAGAACATTTGATGGTTTTGGGGTCTGTTTGGGATTTTTAGCTCCCAGTTTAGGAGAGGTGGGAAACAATTAACTTTGAAATCTCCTCGATTTCTAAAGCATTAAAAAAACCCAAATCTAGCAAACCCGCACTGTATTTACACATGAGAAGACCAGAAACGTCAGCTCGGAGATGCCACTGGACTGCAATTCCACCAAGGACAACGAAATATTCGGGGACCCGGGAATCGAGGGGGAGGCGGGGTGGCCGGGAGAGGCCAAGGCCTCCCTTCCCAGCCTGAGAAGGCAAAGGGGCAGGGAAAAGCAGCGCAGGCAGAGCGCTCCGAGAGGCGCCCGGCTCACCTTCCGCCAGCACCTCGTCCACCGTGACCTGGTGCCGGCCGATGCTGAAGACCCGGCCGATGTAGCCGCTGCCCGGGCCGCTGCTGCCGCCGCCGCCGCCGCTGGTGCCCGACCCGGGCCCGGAGCCGCCCTGCTCCCGGCGCGAGTCGAAGAACTTCTTCATGTCTCAGAGGCGGCGGCTCCGGCGCTGGGGGCGATGCCGGTGTCAGTGCCGAGCCCCTCCCGGCTCTGCTGAGGGGCCCCGGGGCCGCTCTCCTGGCGGGGCCGCGCCGCGCTGTCCTCGGGGGACTCACACCTGCAAAACCACAGCGGGTCACGGGGGGCGGCGACACCCCCGCGGGGAGCCCCGACCCGCAGCGACCGTGCCCGGTACCTCGCAGCGGGCGGCGGGAGCCTCCATGCGCCCCGCGGGGCCGGCGTGCGCAGCCCCACCGGCTGGCTCACGGCGGGGGCCGGCTGCCGGCAGGGCCCGGGGCCCGCATCGCTGCCTGGCGGCGTCACCGGCGGCCACCGAGCCCGTCAGGGAGCGGGACGCGGGCAGGGACCGACCCCGCCGCCGCCGCCCCCCGCCGGCCCCATCCGACCACGAAACGGGCCGTCACAGGAAGTCCCGGCTGCCGGCGGGAGCGCCGCCCCCGCGCCTCCGCCAGCCGCAGGGCCGGGCCCCGCCGCCGCGGGCTCTGCCGCTGCCCGGGGGTGTCCCGTCCCGCGGTGCCCCGGCCCGGGATGTCCCGCCCGGCCCGGCCCGCAGCCCCCCAGCGCGGGGCACCCCCGCCCCACAGCGCGGCGCGGGGGGAGCGGGGGCTCGGCGGGATGGCGGCCCCGCGCAAGGCACGCTGGGAGCGGTAGTTCTCCGGCGCCGGCGGTGGTGGCGCTCTGAGCGCAGCGCGGACTACAGCTCCCGGCGGGCACCGCGGCCGGCAGGGGGCGCTGTGTGGCGGGGCCGTGAGGGGGCCGTGGCGGAGCCCCCGGGCCGGGGTCGCCCCTCAGAGCGGCCGGGCCGGGCCGGGCCGGGGTCGCCCCTCAGAGCGGCCGGGCCGGGCCCGACGGCGGCCCCAGGGACAGCGGAGGGGCCCCGCGGGACGGGTGTCCCCCTCGCCGCGAGGGATGGGTGCGGGAGTCCTGTCCGTGAGCAACCACGGCCCGCGCTGGCGCTTTGCCTGGTGACGGCTGTTTTATGTTTGGTTTTGAAATAATGTGCTAAACTCGGTGTTTTTGTGATATAATAATAGGAGGCCATTGCTGTGACATCTTGGTTTTGACCTGAAGCACGAGGCTCATCCTCACACAGGCCCTGCTGCCTTGTTTGAGATTCCCAAAAAGTCTATAAAGAGAGGTATCCCAAGCTCTCAAAACGTGTTAAGTGTTTTAAACCTGGCAGCTGGTTTTGCAAAGCCTGCACCTTGGATTGACTGTTAAATTACATGTCCTCCCCACCCCAATACCTCCCACAGCTCATCCACAGAGCCCAAAGCCCCTGGGTTAAGCTTTGGAGAGGTATAGATTACCTCAAATCTTGTGAAATGTCCTTTAAATTTAACCACTTTGGGTTTTTTTCAGCCTTTTTTTCTTCAGAACCCATGAGATTTTCCCAGCCCATGACATCCACAGCAGCTGACTCCTCTCCACAAGCATCAGAGAAGGCCAAAGCTGGGATTTGAAACAAAAGAGGGAAACGTTGAAATGGCAAAAATTGGTTTTCCCAGAACGAGGACCCAGATGAACAAAGCCCGAGGAGCTCGTGGCTCCAGAGGAATTCCTCCATGACACACCGCTCTCCTTCCTCCTTCCGGCTGGGACACAAGAGGAAACAAAATCACGCTCCCATTTTCCCGGTGACTATTATTTCCTGTATTATGGCAATAACTACAGCCATCCTGCTGACAGCCCCTGTCCCCAGGCCAGGCCTGCTTACTGTGGGATGACAAAAATGTTTCCCCACACACGGCCCTTGTTCTTCATGGTGCCTCTCTTTTGGGCACAGGCTTCCAGCAATGCCAACAAGATTGGATCAGCATGTTGTAAACAGATCTAATTGGTTTTGTCCCCTGGTGTTTGATGACTTTTAAGATGGGTATGGCTCTCAGAACAGGCAAGTAGAATTTGTTACCACAGGCTGGGGGTGCCATTTAGCACCTGGATCTAACAGCAGGTCACTGTACAGTTGTTTCTCTGCTGAGCCACTGAGCCTCTTCACTGTGGGTAAATACTACACCTCTTCATCATCCTTGTCCTCAGCAGCTCTGGTAGGTAAGGGCCCACCAGCCAACCCTGCAGACCTCAGAGTCCTCCTTGACCACCTTTAGCCACCCATAACTTGTAGGGTGCTTCAGAGTGGCTCCTGGCTGCACCTCATTTCTAAGTGTCATGTACAAGACACCCCAAATCCGCAGAGCTGGAACTGCAATCATTTCAGCCAGGCAGCCAACACACATGTGAAAACAGTCCTTTTTCATCTGAAGGCTTTAATCTTCATGAAACCTGCTCGGCTTTAATCTTCATGAAACCTGCTTGTGGTTTGGGGCTCTGTGATGGATTTCCAGTGGCCAATACAGAGGGTTCACTTGCCCTTCAGAATAAATATGAACTGGGTGAAGTCTTGGCTGCTTCTATCCATGTTTTTTTATTATTTTTTTAATTCCTCTACCCTGTGAAAGATCCCCAGGCATCTCTCAAGACTGAGGTAAAACACCCAGTGCAAAAACCAAGTCCCATCATCGGGGATTTCTGGGGACTCTGCAGAACTGAACAATTTCCAAGGAAATTGGGCATCTCTGTACAGTACAGGGAAATGACTCATTTCCAACCAAAGAAGATAAAAGCCTCTGCGTGCAGAGAGCTGCAGATGCAGTGCTGAGCCTCCTCCCTGGCTCCGAGAGGCTTTTTTTAACTGTACCTGCGGTGCAATGCAGGCGAGTGTCAGCCCCACGCACGGCTGGGGCTCTGGGGCTCAGCCCACGGCCCCCAGCCCCACCTGGGACCACTGTGGGGAGCAGGAGCACGGCAGGAGCCCATCCCCGGCTGCAGATGCTGAGGATATTCGTTATTCCAGAAGGCACGAGGCTTGGCTGTGCTGCTGGAATCCCAGTGACCTTCACAGGGATCAGAGGGAACTGAGCCTGAAAGCTCTTAGTGTAAAAGCTGATCAGGGGCTGCCAGCACAGACATGGCCTGTGCTCCTCCCATGTGAGCCTGGAACGACTCCAGGGTGCTCCCAGAATTGTCCCACTGCAGAGAGGAGCCTCAGTCTGACTAACACAGTCCATCCTAAACACCAAACTTTAGCTGCTAAAATCCCTTGACACGAGGTTTAAAATACCCAAGCCCGGTGTGGTCAGCAGAACTGCTTCCCTGCACATTGTCTCCCTGATCCCTGCTTCTCCTGCGCTGCACAGAAAATGCATTCAAATCCCCAGGAAGAAGCACATTAATACAGCTGCATCCCTCTTCATCAAACTTTCCGGACAGCTCAGCGTTTTCTAAATAAAAACACGCGCTTGGAAAGGTTTCCTGCAGCCCCCGAAAGGCGAGGGCAACACTGGCCTCTTCTGGAGAGCTCGAGAAGCGGCAGCGAGGTAGGAAAGGGCCGGCACAGCTTCCTGTGCTTGGTGACACTTAACTGTCCAGGGGAAACAAAGTAATGGTCACATTTTCCTGAATTCAGCGCATAATAATTAAGCCTTATCACCTGGTTATTTTTACCGTGATAAGGATGTTGGGAGAGCGACTTTTCACACGGGCAGCCAGTGATAGGACAAGGGATATCAGTTTTAAACTGAAAGAGGGGAGATTTAGGTTAGATATTTGGAAGAAATTCTTCCCTGGGAGGGCGGGGAGGCCCTGGCACAGGTTGCCCAGAGAAGCTGTGGCTGCTCCATCCCTGGAAGTGTCCAAGGCCAGGTTGGACGGGGCTTGGAGCAACCTGGAGCAGTGGAAGGTGTCCCTGCCCATGGCAGGGGGTGGGACTGGATGAGCTTTAAGGTCCCTTCCAGTCAAAACCATTTAATGATTCTATGATTCTCTGTCCACTTAAACACACACATTTACTGCAAAGAAATCTGTTGAGCTTCTCACCAGCTAAAGAGCAGAGCCACTGATCTATCCATCTCTCTTTCTTCCCATGATTTTCTGGAATCCAAGCATTTCTTTCCAAATCCAAGTGACCCCCAAACACTACCAGTATGACCAGAAAAATCACTCTTCTTCATCACCCTCAAGGAAAGGTCAGTTCTCAAGCATGCTGTCACAGAGATAGGAACTTGGCTGGGTTCAGAGTTGTGCAGAGGAACAAAAAGACTCCAAAACTCACAGCTGTATTTTCCTGTGTAAAAAATGGAAGTTTCCACCTCTTTGGTGCTCCTGTTCACCCTTATGGGAGATACTCACTGGTTCCAGCAATGGGTACTGATGCCTTAAGCCCATAATGATTTTCTTATTTTTCTACCTTATAAGTTTTATAGGTAATAGAAGTAGATTTTAGAAATAAACCCCTTTCTCCCTCCTCCCCGTAGTATCCCTTAGTTTATACATTCCTTAATCCTTTCACCCCATTCCATACCCCCATATCAACCCTATTCCCATATCCAGTAGATGATGTTTAGTCTTTTAGTCAAGGTAAGCCTGTCTTGTTTGGAGAACGCTTGTATCTTGGCCTAAACCGCAGGACAGAGTCAAAGAACTGGGTCACCCTGCTCTCTGTACCCTGAAGATGATGAAGATGATGAAGAGGGGGTCCCAAAAAGCACCCCAGACCCAATTCCAAGAAGCGGGCCAGGGGGTGGACCAGGCCAAAAGTTATGGGGTGGACCAGGCCAAAAGTTATAGGGTGGACACACTTGGGATTGGCAGCAGCCCTGCTCGTGTTGCTTTTTAGCACTAGATCCATCATGTTAAGATCATAGAATCCCAGAACGGTTTAGGTTGGAAGGGACCTTAAATATGATCTAATTCCAACACCCCCCCATGGGCAGGGACACCTTCCCCTAGACCAGGTTGCTCCAAGCCCTGTGCTTAACATTTTTTCCTTGCTCCAAGCACTGCATCAGTCAGTGTTTCTATCCTGTTTCCCTGAAGGAATGATGGTGTGTGTGCCTTAGAAGTCGCCCTGAGCTGGGCAGTCAGAGCTGTTTCCATCCCCTGGAGCTGGGTTACAGCCACGTTGCAGAGCAGTAAGATAGAACTACATAGAGGCAGATATTAATTAAGAACAAAAAAGTGAAAGCTATTTGTTTCCTCTTCAGAACTATATGTATGCTAATTAAAGTAAACATTCATTAAGCCCATTCAATGAAATTTTGGGTTGATAATGCATTTAAGGCTGCAGGAAGCAGTGGTGTAGCAGTTCATAGCCTGCAGCTTTGGGGAAGGAGGGGTCAGGTTGGGCCACAAATAATATCCAGCCTCCACAGGGCACTGGGAGTTTCCCCGACTGAGCATCTCCAGGGAGCTGGCAAATGCCCTGAGGCCTGAGCCTTAAATGATATCAGTTAGTCTTGGCAGAGAGGATGTTGAAGATACATTACAGTTTGTACAAATAATTGTACAAATAATTGTACAAATTGTACAATGAAGGTGCAGCTGCAGTAGTCTAGCCTGTCCCTTGTCCTTGGTGTAATCAGGCTATACCACAGCATGCAGTGTAATTCATAAAATCAT